ATTATTAGCATGTTAGTTTTAGACCCCTTTTCGATACGATTACTGTGAAACTTATCCAATTTATTTTCTTATTTAGCATCTTTGTTTATGTATTTATTTATTTATTGTTTCTTTGCTTGTTTGTTTCATAAATATTTATTATTTTTGCCTTTTAGATACCATTTCCTTTAGACACTATTTACTTTTAATTTACTTCTGTTCTTAATTAAAAACAATATTTATTTATTTCACATTTATGTTTTTATTTGTGTATTCATTTCATTATTAACATTAAGTCTCAGACCTTTTTCCCTATGATTACTCCAAACTTGTTTATCCAACTTCACTTATGTTCTTAAGATATTCATTCATTCATTCAAAATCTACTTGGCTTCAAATTTCCACATTTAAATGGCCATGATGCATTTGCTTCAACACCACCATGATTAAAATCATTGATGCATGTTTACTGACTTGAGTGTTATAGTTTGACCATGTTTCATGGTTACTCACAAAACCTACTCAGGATGGGGTAGGAAGCAAAATGTCTTTTGCTAATGAGCGTACAATGACATAATAGCGTGCAGTGGTTCTTGCATTGGAGCAGGATGAACATTTTAGCACAGTGGCACCAGCAGACTTAATCCTGCGAGGGTCCCAGCAAAGAGCCATGTCAGGACTCGCGGCACTGGAGAATGTAAAAGCCTGGAATGAAACATAGCTAATGCCAAGAGCCTTGAATTAAACATTGGACGGATGAAATATGGCTATTAACCAGGCATGGCAGTCATCCTTATGGGCTCCTTAGACCCTGGAGAAAGGGCCACTAAACATTTGAAGTGCCTGCATGCACACATTTAGACTAGAAGGATAGAAATGTGAACAGTTAGAGATACTAAAGAGGAAGAGGAACTAAAAAGGATACTCACTGCATTTCTAGGATATGCATTTGGCTTTATTATTTAGCTAGCTTTATTATCAATGCATGTCCTTGCAACAGCATGTCCCGATAGTACTGCATCCTGCATACAGGACGCCCCCTCATGTATTCATTACTTACAGTGTTAAAAAAGTTAAAACTCAAGGATGGATCAGTACCCGCTGTTCATGATCCAGCTGCACCTCCACAAGAAGTAAGTCTCACACTTTTTATTTTTGGCATTTTTGCCTTTATTGTGATAGGACAGATCAGACATGACATGAAGTGAAGTAGGAGAGGGAGGGGGGGAGGGCAGGATCGGGAAAGGTCCTCAAGTCAGGATTCGAACACGGCACACCCGAAGCACAATGGCGCTGTATGTTGGCACACTGCCCACAAGGCTACTTTTATTTTGTAATTAAATTACGTAATTCCGTTACATGTAACTAGTTACTCCCCAACACTGATTACTTAGCATAAGATAAGTTTATACCCAAGCGCTGGAGCTTGACAAACCTGAACGTTGCTTATTCAGCCCACCTCTGTCACTCTTTCAGGTGTGTTTGCTAGCATTAGTCTGCAAAATCGACCTGGAAAAATCGCACACACAAACATACACGCGCCATATTTTTATGCCTTGTTACTTTCTTCCAGCCTGTCAGAAGAGTGAAAGTGAGGCTTTTCAGAGCATGAAGGGAGCCTCTTGTGGGAATTGGGCTCCACATAAACACAACATAAAGAGTTGATGAGGTTTTGATCTCACCGTTGCCTGTGAGTGATACCCACCTACACTCCTCCAGCAGTGGTGAAGGGGGTCCACATGAGAAAACGCGCGTCTGGTGGAGTGGTGGAAATGTAGGGAGGGATGTTCTGTGTGCATCTGTATGTGTGCCACGGCCTACTGAGAAGCTTTCAGAAGCATAGAGATACCCGTTAAGGATCACACAGCATTTTTAAGCTCAGATTCTGGCCGTTTTGGGAGTTCACTGCTTTGTTTTTCCAAATTAAAGCCACACTTTATGAAATAATTTATAAGCACATGTTCCAGTGTTCTCATTTATTGTTTATAGGGGTTTGTTTGGATATTACTGTCCACGGGACGCTCTCCATTTCGTCTTTTATTACTGCTTGCTGGTAAGGGAAACATTCGCTACATTCATTAACCCTTTTAATCCTGCGGGCATTTATGAGTTGCCGAAGGCTCTACCACTGTTTTTCTTGCTGTGAATATTGTTTTGGTTGCTATAGATTTAAAAAAAAAAAAAAGGCATATAAGTAGACAACTTTAGGAAAAGCTTTTGACAACTTGCTGGATAATGTGTCATGTGGTGGGTAGGTTGTTTTCACTGAAATGCACCTGGCAACTTCCTTATTATCTCAATCTTTGCATAGGTTTCTATGGGAGTTTCTATATAGAGATAGAAGCAGTCCACCAGTCATTATCGCAGAATAAACCCCCGACAGCATGACCAGAGCCGCTGTTCACAGAGTAAATAAACGAACATGCAGTAATGATTCGAAATTATTTTATTATGCAAGCAGAAAGATTTTGGAGTGAAATAAAACACTTGAAACTCATTGCCAACGGTCAGACATTATGCAAAATCAAACATTATGCAAAAATACTGGATAGCAGAAGTGCAATACTGCATAGTATGAGGAATAAGTGAAGTGACATGTGGCCAAGTATGGTGACCCATACTAGGAATTAGTGCTCTGCATTTATCCATCCGAAGTGCACACACACAGCAGTGAACACACACACACCGTGAACACACACCCGGAGCAGTGGGCAGCCATTTTTTTTTTGCTGCAGCACCCAGGGAGCAGTTGGGGGTTCGGTGCCTTGCTCAAGGGCACCTCAGTCGTGGTATTGAAGGTGGGAGAGAGCGCTGTACATTCACTCCCCCCACCTACAATCCCTGCCGGTACGAGACTCGAACCTGCAACCTTTGGGTTACAAGTCCGACTCTCTAACCATTAGGCCACGACTTCCCCACAAAGTCGGGGAAATTATAATATAAATAATTTGAATTGCAGAGATCTCTGGAATAAAAAAAAACTGGGCATTAATGGGTTAAGTTCAGAAATTTAGTGGTTTTAAATTTAGAAATTTAGTGGAAACCTACACTACTGTTCAAAAGTTTGGGCTCTGAAATATGTTTTAAATAATTATCTGATATGTTCACCAAGTCTCCATTAATTTGATCGAAAATACAGTAAGAAGAGTAATATTGAGAAATATAATTTATTTGTGTGATGGCACAGCTGAATTTTCAGCATCATTACTCCAGTCTTCAGTGTCACATGATCCTTTAGAAATAATTGTAATATACTGACTTACTCCTTAAGAAATATTTATTTTTATTATCAATGTTGAAAACAGTTGTGCTGCTTAATATTTTGTAGATACCGTGATACATTTTTTTTCTCTATGATTTTTTGATGAACATAAATCGGTTTCAAATAAATACTGCAAATAAACTTTATTTAACATTATATAAAAATGTCTTTACTGTCATTTTGATCGATTTAATGCATCAATGAATAAAAGTATATGTTTCTTCCATTAAATAAATAAGAAAGAAACTAAGTAAATAAATACAAATCTTATTGACCCCAAACTTTTGAAATATATAGTGTAATTGCATGATTTACTTTTAAAACCAATGTTGTGCCTCATCCATTTTTTACATTGTTTTTGAGTAATTTTCCTCACATAGTTCACGACTGTCAGTTCCACTGACTTTCCTCTCTGCCTCTGGCTCAGTGTATATAGATCAATGATGCCTGAGAGAAGTTAGCAGCTTGTAATTAGTCTTCCACCTTTCTGGAGGAAGAAGACACATTCTGTCTGTTTACGTTATTCATGCAGAATACATTATAGCCGAGCCCCTTTATGCAACTGGAGATGTTCATTATGGTCAAGAACTGTAAAATACCGTAACACCAGTGTTGAGACTTCACACCAGAAATCATTTCAGCGAACACAGAATGTGCCGAGAGTTACATTTATTAAGGTTTATGACTTCTCCTATATCTGTACACAGCACTAATTCATGATGCCATTGTGAACGTGTGATCACATAAGAAGCCTGAATCCCTCTGTAAATCCACTGAGCGTTGTCTAAAGTGTTGCATAATTTCCTTAAGTTATGATGTCATCGGACAATATATAATTTTATTGTTGACCATAATCAGAGTTTCTCCTGGTAGGAAACTTTCCTGTTTGGTGGCGCATCCTCTTATTTTGTTTTGGCGGCTTTAATTGTGTTCCCTTGGGCTCTCCGCTGGCAGTAATTGTGAAAAATGAGCTGGTTTCTGTCTGGTGCCACTTTGCTCAGATGGCACCCCGTGTAGGCATTAGCATTCTTGTATTTAATTTAGATGTAAATGTGCGAGCTCGACCCCTGGATGTGTACGTGGCATCTGAGGGACCAGCCACACATTTTCCCACCCTGTGATCAGTTACTAGCAGTGAGCTAAAAGGATGAAGGAACTCTGGGTCATTTATTCCCCACAAGTAAATCAAGAAAAATAATGACAAACATAATGACAAAAGCACCGTTGGCTTTGTAACACGTTTAGTAAATGTTATTTGTTAAAGCTGTAATAGCTAAATTGCGTGATCGCTAACAATAATGTGATAATTTATTGCAATTTCACCTTGCTTTCTTTTCCAAAACAGATTGTAATACTGTAAAAAGGACATCATTTATGCAACATAGTCACATCAATAAATTAGCATTAGTTTTTTAAAAACTCTTTATCACTCACTTTAGCAACAGTGAGGTAAATATGTAGGCTGATAGCTTGGATGTGGTATATACATAGTAAAAATGATTTTTTGAAGTTTTGTTTTACAGTAGGTTTTACAAAATACTATTTCAGTCTATCTACTTCAGAATTAATGTTTATTTCAGTGTGTTCCTTGCTGAAATTTGCTGTCAGTTTCTGAGTGAAATGGTTTCAGAATCCTTTTTTTATCCGCATAGGCTGCAGTAATGTCATTTATTTATATTCTGAACAAGACGTTTGCTATTTTTCTGTGACTGCATGGATTTTCTATGTACTCTTCCTTAACTTCTGCTTCCCACATGGTTCGAGAGGGCCAGCATGTTGGTAATCCTGCTGAACTGCGTTACTCTGGGAATGTTTCACCCTTGTGAGGACAGCCACTGTGACTCAGAGCGATGCAAGATACTGGAGGTAAGTCTCAAACCTAGAATACACCACCTTTCGTAACCCGATGTACTTTAAATAGATCAAAGAACAGATGGTAAACAAATTCAAATGTAATTGGACACAGACTTGAAATGAACTCAGTGTTAAAATTAAATCCAACGAGTGTTACATCGCAAAGAAGGGAGGTTATTTTGAGGCGTTTGTCGTCGTCTCTCGTGGAGCGCTGGGTTTCTCTAGATATCCTGAAGCATGTTGTGTTGAATGACTTCCAAGAGACACAGGAATGCCCAAAACCACATGTGGTGATAGGCAACAAAGAGATCCTCGCCTGTAATTCAAAGCAGAGTATCACAGGAAAGACACTGCTTTGGTTTAACATTGACTTGGGAACATGGCTCAGGGACTTTGATTTCAATCTGCTAAATTCCTTTTGCATTGTTTAACAGATGAGTGTTTTGCCCTAAGGATTTCAGCTTTGGATGTTCTGCTATGGATGCCTTTTATCATTCTGGGACCCAGCAACAGCTCACTTTTGTCCTCTATAGAGGACATTGATATTTCATATAAATATAAATATTGGGGACATTGGTGGAGGACTTTTTTTTTCTTTCTTTCTTTTTTTTAAGAAAGTGAAATTCAGAAATTCAGCAAGACTGCATTGTATTGATTCAAAATGACAGTAAAGACAGTTCTAATGTTAAAATTGATTTCTTTTTCAAATAAATGTTGTTTTTCTGTATAGTTTTATTACTAATACTTGTATGGTAACACTTTAGTATAGGGACCAATTCCCACTATTAACTAGTTTCTTATTAGCATGCCTATTATTAACATATTGGCTGTTTATTAGTACTCATAAAGCACATATTCTGCATAACCATATTCTAAATCCCTAATCCTACCCAATACCTAAACTTAACAACAACCTTACAAACTATTAATAAGCAGCGGATTAGGTTATTGAGGTCATAGTTAATGGTTTGTTAATAGCAAAAATTGGACCTTAAAATAAAGTGTGACCACTGGTATTAATACTAATATTAAAACTAGCATAAAAGGCCTTGGAAATTGAAATGTACCATTATAGATAATAATAATAATAATAATAATTATTATTATTATTATAATAATAATAAAATACATAGTAAAGTGTTTTTAAATTGTAACATTTCACATTTTTTTTGCGTTTTTAATCAAATGAATGCAGCCTTGGTGAATGTAAGACTTCTTTTTAAAACATAGAAATCATCCAATATTTTGAATAGTACTGTGCATAAACTGATGTGTGAACCAGTTCTGTTTTGTGTGAAAATTAGCATTTTGCCTGCATTTTGCATTTTCTCTTATCTTCATTCTCTCCTGATAACCTAAAAAAACTAAATGTTACAAAAAACTTTAGTTTTGTTCGATGTATTTTATGCTCCATATACTGTTATGAAGTGAAGAAAATTATAAATTCCCAAAACTTTTTTTCTGCTTCTTAGAAGTTATATAACAATTTCAACCTCTCTTCCTCTCCATGTGATTCCTTTAATGCTATGGGGGTGTCATAAGCGTTTGGAGGACTATATAAAAACAAATGAGCCTGAAATGGCCTTGCCCTAGAGAGGATTACACCACATTAAATGAAGTGCTTAAAACACGACTTCAAAGCCACTCATCCAGGCAGCCATTGTAATCAGGCACTTCAGAATACAATGTGACTGATTGTGACATGAGGTGAATCGCCTCTTATTTCTGAGTTATTAAGCTAATGGTTGCTGTAATGAATGATTCTAATCTGTGATCTTTACATTGTGACAGTGGGGTAAAGTTCACTGTACAGAGCGCCGGTGAGACGTGATTATAATATTCGGTTCAAAGGCAAACTATCACATAAATCTCATAACAATGGTGCAGTGGCTTGCCTCCAGACTGCATATTAAAATCAATATTGACATACTTTTGACATAACACTTGATTAGTGCACATTATTTAGTCATATACAGTGGGTATGGAAAGTATTCAGACCCCCTTAAATTTTTCACTCTTTGTTATATTGCAGCCATTTGCTAAAATCATTTAAGTTAATTTTTTTTCCTCATTAATATACACACAGCACCCCATATTGACAGAAAAACACAGAATCGTTGACATTTTTGCAGATTTATTAAAAAAGAAAAACTGAAATATCACATGGTCCTAAGTATTCAGACCCTTTGCTCAGTATTTAGTAGAAGCACCCTTTTGATCTAATACAGCCATGAGTCTTTTTGGGAAAGATGCAACAAGTTTTTCACACCTGGATTTGGGGATCCTCTGCCACACTCCCTCTCTCTCTCTCACAAACACACACACACACACACATTTCTAAATTCAAATAAATGCTATTTTTAACATTTTATTCATTAAAAAGAATCATGAAAAAATGGAATCATGTGGAATGTGGAATCATTTTCCACACAAATATAAGCAGCAAAGCAACACTACTATGGCGTTATTTTAATGACAAATGTCGAGAGCGCATTTGTAAAAATCTTGAAAAATTGTAATGCTGGGACAAAAAAGTAATTAATTTATAAGAATAAAAACACCATGGGGACTCAAGTAGACAAAATAACGGTGAATGAAAGTGTATAGCCCCTACTTTCAAAGGGATTCATAAGCATAGGAATTATACTGGCTCGTTAAAATGGTTCAGGATAATTCTCATTTCACTTTCTTTTTTTTTGTCCACTGAATACAAACTCAACTTGTTCAACAACAAAGTTTTGTTTGTGCACTGTAAGAATAAAACACAAAACACAGAAAAACAGATAACGTCTTGGCATTTTCCATTAAATTTACGGACATTTCCTTCAACCCTAAAACACTACCTCCAATGCGGAATTCAAAACACACGTGTAAAAAGAAAAGAAAAATACAGAAAATTGTCTTTAAGTTTTCCAAACTACAAACATTGTGAAAATCACACAGGTCACAGTTAAATGTAGTGTAAATGTAATGTTTTATCAGAATTTATGTGGACCCCAAGTAGTTGAGTTTTTAACCCACCTGGTTTATTGAAAGTGCAGACAGAATCAGGGTTCAGGCACAGCAGCAGATTTTGACTGGCCCCGGTGTGTTTACAGCACCTACAATGAATTAAGTGTACTCTCAGGATCTGTATAAGGAAATACACAAATGTGAATGATCAGGTTAATAAAATGCAAATTAATGTAGACTTTAAAACGTTAGGCATCATACACTTACCGACTCTGTAAATGGTCACAGAAGAATCGTCTGTGACCATCATAAACTACATGCATGCACTATTTTCAAAAGGCAACTTAAATGTGCAGCAAAATCCATCGCAACAAAAACGTAATTATTTCATGTAACAGGATTCAAATACAGCTAGATTTAAACATCCAGTAATGTTTGATAACTTACAGAGAAAATGTAGTGGTGTTTTTTTTTTTCTAAATAACCAATATCAACTAAGTTAACTGGGGAAAGTGTGACTTTAAGAAAAAACAACGATAATCAAAAACCAAAAAAAGCACACTTACCATAAAAACATTCCTCTGGATTATTGCCATGTGCTCTTCTTTCATAAACACTCTTCTTCGGCCGCTTGCTGAACACTTGTTTCTCCCGCGTTGAAAAGTTCAAAGCCTTGAAAAGTAAACGTTGACGTACTATACGCACGCAACCGGCACGTACTGAGGGCGTGGTTTAGCGCGCGAGAGAAAATAATGCCGTCATCAGAAAACGTGCTGATAATATTTTTTTAATGTATGCTTTATTTAAAAATAACAATTCAATAGAACAGTCCATACGCGCTAATTGTGTTCTGAACTAGTGAGATGAGCGCATAGACGCTCACTTCTAACGAAACTTCACAATTAAAAAATTATTCCTGCATATTTAATTGTATTATTATTGTACTATTATACTAATTGTATTATTATTGTACAATAATATATAATACAATTATACATTAGGCACGTTTTCTTGTTATTAATAATAATAATAATCCTGTACACTTTTTAAGAATTACACAGTAAATAATAACAATAATAATAAGGATTATTATTATTATTATTATTATTAACTGTGTAATTCTAATAATATAATTATTATTATTGTTGTTGTTGTACAATATTATGATCTTGCAATTATACATTAAGGAGCATTTTAGTTCTTTTAAAAATCACTAACTATTTTTCTTCATTGTCCTGAAGTAAACAAATGTTTACATTTTATTTAAAAAAAATAGCATTTGTGTTTTACTATATGGGTGGGTAGTTCCCTAATGAGACTGACTTAACTCAATTTTATAAGTTGGCAGAAGTTTCTTTGGATGAACTTGCAAAGCACTGTTCACAGAACTCATCTTTTTAAGTTTATGGAAAAAAACTTGGTTTAAGCTGAATAAATGTATTAAACTTAGTTGTACTGACTTTTTCATGGATTTTTGCTGACCCAACACAACAAAACCAGTCATTTAAACTTTTTTCAAGTTGGGTTTTTTACAGTGTACCGTGTGCGTAATTCAAATTCAACAGCCCAAAACAGTTTTAAACCAAATATTCACTGCAGACGATCCATTGGTGAACAAGTGATGTAATGCTAAATTTCTCCAAATCTTTTCTAATAAAAGAAACTAACTCGTCTACATCTTGGATGGCCAGAGCTGGATTGGTAATCGGGCATACCGGGCATTTTCCCGGTGGGCCGACGCACTTAAGGCGCGAGAGAAAATAATGCCGTCATCAGAAAACGTGCTGATAATATTTTTTAAATGTATGGTTTATTTAAAAATAACAATTCAATAGAACAGTCCATACGCGCTAATTGTGTTCTGAACTAGTGAGATGAGCGCATAGACGCTCACTTCTAACGAAACTTCACAATTAAAAAATTATTCCTGCATATTTAATTGTATTATTATTGTACTATTATACTAATTGTATTATTATTGTACAATAATATATAATACAATTACACATTAGGCACGTTTTATTATTATTATTAATAATAATAATAATCCTGTACACTTT